ATAAACCAATCAATTACCTCGATTGTAATGTTGGTAATCTCTATCCATTGTTACTTTTAAGACGTGATTCGAAAAGGTGGTCTAATTCGGATCAAATACGTACGTACAAACCTATTTTATCAATATAATGAATGATACGTAAATGAATTCATTCGAATAGTAAATTCCTTATACGCATAACTTGCGTGTACAAGTCTTTTAACATTTCTAGTTATGATCACCCAATCATCATAAAAAAAAATGAACCATAATAATAATATAATAATAATATATAAAAAGTCGTAATGTTCATTATCATTTATATGAAGCTTTTTGTAAGTTAGAGCATGTACCGAATTTTCTCCAAAATAAGCTACCATTGTTGTCAGAAAAATTACACGAAAATTTTGAAAGTAGTTATTTTCGAAACGTTAGTATACTAATAAAAAGTTATCCGAATTGCATAAAAATTTCAAAAAAAAAAAAAAAAAAAAAAGAAGATATACATATATATATTGATGTTCTGAACGACTTTACTTAGAAGCCCAAAGGTGGTTTACTTAGTAAAATTTTGCCTTTTATATGTAGAAACTATGATTTCTTTAGGATTTTTAGCAAAAACGGGAAGTGGCTTACTTTGGGGGTAACTTATTATGGGAAAGTACAATAAGAATTTAACCCATTCAGCAATTTACTGATCGAATCCGGGTAAAAATTGTTATGATATGGTTACCCCAAGGTAAAATTTCTAAAGCTCTAATCATCACAATATAATTCTAAAATACGTATCCCTGTGTTCAATAACAAACCAGTTTAAGGAATTTATAGAATCTAGAAGGCGGCCTTGCATTGTTATTTTAACTACGTATGCGTAACGATAAATAACCATAATTTTTTGTTAAATTTGATTAGTCAGAATTTAGAATTTGCTGGTTGCTTAAAGTAGACCCATACATTTATTTAGTATAATACACAATACATTACTGCATTACCGTTACGTAATCATTTGTGTTAAAAATAGAAAGGTACATACCTGATACACGTATGTGCGTACGTACGTAATTTATTTTTCGCAACATAGCTAAATAAGATATAAATAAGGCCAACCCAAGTTAAAATATCAACATTTTTTCTTATCAATCTTTTGTTTTTTTTTTTCAAGTATGGAACTTTTAGACATAGGCAAACATTGCGCAAATCCTGATTGCAAACAACTGGATTATCTTCCCATTAAATGTCAATATTGCAAAAAAGATTTTTGCTCCGACCATTCAAAGCCTACTGAACATAGTTGTAAGGATGCACCTATTGGAGATGGTGAGCGAGTTCCTATTTGTCCCTTGTGCCAGACACCTGTCCCAATTAAGAGAGGCGAAAATCCTAATCTTAGAGTAAGTTTCAATTTGTTTGAACATCCCTGTGCGAAATACGGATCTTTTTTTTTTTTAAAAAAAAACAAAACCATAGGTTCTCCTATATTAATATCATTTTTCTTTTATTTCAGATGGATCAGCATATAGCAAATGGCTGTAAGCCACCACCTACTTCTATTTCAACAAAGCCATTTAATTCATGTTCTTTTGGTAAATGTAAAGAAAGACTTGCTGTTCGTATGATGTGTTCAGGATGTGGCAAAAATTATTGTATAAAACATCGTTTAGGACCCGATCATATGTGTGATAAGGTGAAAGTGGACAATAAAATAAATACCGTTTCTAAACTTGGAGCCATTATAACATCGAATAGTTCTCCGGTCAAAGCTTGGGTTGGAAAGATGTTTAAGTACTGAATTTGCGAAAATTGGTTCGTACGAACGTACGTACTCGGTGACCAAATCCAAAACTATTATAATTTGAGGTTGTTCACGCCTAAATCCTAATTTCTGGCAAAATTAATCTCTCAAAAACTTTATAAAATATATTCTTTTATAATTATATAGAATATATTTGTAAAATATCATTATTCATTTTTTTTCATTTAATTTTTCATAAATAGCATTTGTTTTTTTGAGATTTGAAATTTGTTCAGGTTTTGTCGGCAATTATAAATAACTATCAGCTATATCGATACTATAGATTTTATAAACATTATACATATTTCTCATTGATGAGAATTAATTTCAATAAACAAATTATATTGCATTTTTTTTTTTATACGTATTTATGTAATAAAATTTATAATTTTTTTTTTTTTTTAGGTTTTTTTTTTTGTTATAGTAATAGATCTTTTTTTCTTGATATTAAGGCAATCCTCTTCGCTCTTGAAGTTATTGAAAACT